CATTTTGCTGAGAAAATGATCCTTGCGTTCTAACCATATTTCATTGGCCTCATCCATGAAGGCAACGCTGGATCTAAGTGAAGGAGATATAGCATTTTGGATCCATGAGACTACCATGTCATTGCATCTTTCCCATGGATCAAAAGAATCACTGGTCGGTTCAGGTTTGAGTAAGGTTCCATTTATGAATCCAAGCTTATTCTTGGCTCGCAGTGCTCGCCGGAGACCTCTTAACCAGGTGGCATAGTTATCTGTGGTCAGTAATTACGTGACTAAAATGGCTCCAGGGTTATCTGAAGTTTCTAGTTTGTATTGTTCATAAAGTTCAGCAGCAGGGGAGGAATTGGTGCTGCGTTTTCACTACCAGCAAAATCCATACTGGCAATTGTAGTCATTGCTCTGATACCATGTAAGATAATAGAGCTGAAATGAAAATGAAGAACACTAGTACTTTTGGATTAAATTGGAAATTCATTTCATATCTAACACTAATACAAAAGGCTGAAATATATAGGATGTACAAAAGGGTAAAAGAGTAAAGATCTAATTGTACAACCAAAAAGAATATTATTCTACCTAACCATGTGCACCATACACGAGTTGGGGGACCACTTGGCTTGATAAGATCATTGCCTTATGATGTATGTGCATATCTAGCAGATGACAATACCGGATGAACTGATAAAGAGGCTGCAAGATGAGCTCATAAGGAGGGTGCATTATCTATTTTAACAGTCTAATTAATTAATACCAATATGGTAGTCTAATTTAATTGATATACTACTACCTAGTTAATTAATATATTGTTACTGTAGAGCTCCTAAGAAATTAGTTATTTTAGGAAATAATATAATTACTATATACTCCTAGAGTTAAGGAGGTGATTCGGCACATCCCTACGAATGTGGGATCTCATGCAAATTAATTATGAATGTGAGATCTGATGTAAATTATTAGATTCGTTTCTCATTTTGAAATTAGATTAACGTGTATAAACTATAAAGGCAACATATACCATGTACATAATTCTTGCAATTAGAAACAACTGCTCTTTTCAATTCTCACATTAGCCTTAAATTAAATTTTCTGAAGAAAAGTCAGAGCCTTAAATTAAATTTTCTGAAGAAAAAAAAAATTCTTCTAGTCCTTTTTCGCCAATTATCTCTTGCTAGTCTTCATTGCCAGCTCCTACTTCCTTTTATTTCAATTTCTTGGCCTTCATCACCAATTTCCATTGACCGGTGATATGTCAGACATCACCAAGATAAATCATTCCACAGGAGATCTACAACCACTACAACAAAAATAGTCATTCGCAACATTAAAAAGGCAACATTTGTTGATAAATGTTGCTAAAAGAGTCTTTTGGCAACATTTTAGTAAGTGAATGTTGCCATTGGTTAGTATAAATGAGTTTTGGTAACGTTTTTTTTAAAAAAATGTTGCAATAGACCCCTTTTCGGAACGTTTGTTGAGTGTTGCAGAATGTTTTATTTTTCACAACATTTGGCAAACGTTGCGATCACTTTTCGCAACGTTTGCCAAACGTTGCCAAAAATAAAACTTTTAGCAACGTTTGTCAAACGTTACGAAAAGTGTTCCTTTCGCAACATTTATCAAATGTTACAAAAAAAAATTTTTTTTTCCAAATAAATGCTCAAATTGCAAAGCCCAATATTGATACATTATAAATCCACCCACGCCTCCCAAATCATCTTCCCCCAAATCCATCCTCCATTTCAATTCAATTTCATCCAGGCTCGACCTCCGCCTCTCGCCTCTACGTCTCCTCTAGCCAGCCTTGGGTCGCAGCTCGGTGCCGGCAATTCGGCTTCTTCCTTCTTCATTCTTCTACAGTTCCTGCTTCGCCTCCGTGCCGGCGACTTCAAGCCCTAGACTAGTTGCTTCGCCTCCGTAACCTACTGTAAGTCTGGATGTGTAGATTCTGTAGAGTGGTCTGTTTATAAGCTTCAATTGTGCTTTCTGTTTGTTCTTCAGTTTTTTGAGGTAATTTCTATATTTTTGCATGAAGGTGGCAA